AGAAATCCAGCCATATGAGCCCGTTTAGTTCTGTTAATGAGGCATTTTCGTTAGTGAGTTTTGTTTATTGGGAGTCCACTATAATAATAATAATAATAATAATAATAATAATAATAATAATAATCACCCCGCCGCGGTGGTCTAGTGGCTAAGGTACTCGGCTGCTGACCCACAGGTCGCCGGATCGAATCCCGGCTGCGGCGGCTGCATTTCCGATGGAGGCGGAAATGTAGGCCCGTGTGCTCAGGTTTGGGCGCACGTTAAAGAACCCCAGGTGGTCAAAATTTCCGGAGCCCTCCATTACGGCATCTCTCATAATCATATGATGGTTTTGGGACGTTAAACCCCACATATCAATAATAATAATAATAATAATAATAATAATAATAATAATAATAATAATAATAATAATTATTATTATTATTATTATCATCATATACAATGAGATGACGATGACAACGAACTAAGTGTTTTTACTGGGAGACCTTAAAAACGCTGAGAAGACCAAGAAACCGTTCAATGAAGCAGTACACGTACAAAATAAACGAGAAATCTAATAAAACAAGCCGTAACATAATTCTGAACAGAGATGTCTGGTAAATACCTATTTTTTCTAGCTTTTCAGCTCAGTTTAGTGATTCTGGTGCTGACGTGTCGACCGGCTGGTGATCAAATAATGCTGTTTAAAAAGAATACGACTTCTATGGTAGAGCAAAAAAAAAAAAAGGAATGCAAGAAAGACACACGGCGACACCTGGCGCAGTGTACAAACAAGCCCCATTGGCAACTTTATCAGTTATTTTCTGGATAATGCGAACACAAAATCTTATATATTCAACTTCCTTTGAGCCTCGTCAGACTACAAATAAGAAAGTGCACCGTAAATATTCATTATAGGCTTTGCAGTATTGATTATAAGGAATATGTACAGCTCAACACAGCGCACGTGTAGTAAAATTCTCAGTTTACGGATTAACTGCATTGTAACTATGCTTACAGATTCGCAATATCATTCGGTTGCTCAAGTTTGGCGACTGAAGCATCCTCTGTGATGACTAATCGATGTATGCATCTGACGCCGGTATGTGCCGAGTAATCACTTCCTTTTTGGCTGTAATCGAGGATTCCGGTGCTGTTGCTGCGTGACTTGAATCTCAATGCGGAATCTTTTTCGGGAGGTTGGTGAGGATCGTGTTCGACTGGCACTTCAGCGATGCCTGTGATCTGTTCGGAAGCGGACTACCGATGCATCTTCACGCAGCAGACGCAGAGCACAAGTTGTAGTGAGTGAACTGAACGTATGCATGCATGGGTGGCTTTCATCCGATGTACCACGTGCAAGAAAGAAGGGGTAAAAGAAGAGAGCGTGACACATAGCTTCTGAAAAAAGAAGCAAAAAAAAGTGAACTCCACCAATATACCTTTCGCAAGTTCCCGAAGCCATTTTTCCTCATTATACCACGGTATCTTACTGCTCCCTTTTTTGCAACTGTAGGTTTTGCATGGCAGTCGTGCTTGCTTGGAGTCCCTGCATGTGTGCGGTGCGGGGTGGCTGGCGACCATGCTGGCGGCACACACGCTATAAGGCTTGCTCAGAAATGCAACAACCACAGCGTACATATGTGCTTCTGCTGCTGAGCCTCTGCGGTTTCCGATCGCTTTGATGAACGAGCCGCGCGCAAAGCCGCCTTTCTTCTCGCCACTGCAGTGCTCATTGTACGTCTACTGTCTAAGAAAAAAATGCACGACCACCCTTCTGGAGACACCATTTGCCTTCGCAAGCCCGCGTGGACACCTGTAATAATATTACAGTTGTCCACGTTAGTAAAGGTTGTTTTGACACGCAATTGATTACATGTCTTATTTCACTCATAACTATTTCAACTATGACAACTATGTTCTTTGCCATTTGATCTCGGAGTTTGATTGATTGATATGTGAGGTCGATTTGTGGGGTTTAACGTCCCAAAACCACCATATGATTATGAGAGACGCCGTAGTGGAGGGCTCCGAAAATTTCGACCACCTGGGGTTCTTTAACGTGCACCCAAATCTGAGTACACGGGCCTACAACATTTCCGCCTCCATCAGAAATGCAGCCGCCACAGCCGGGATTTGATCCCGCGACCTGCGAGTCAGCAGCCGAGTACCTTAGCCACTAGACCACCGTGGCGGGGTTGATATGTGAGGTTTCACGTCCCAAAACCACCATATGATTATAAGAGACGCCGTAGTGGAAGGCTCCGGAAATTTCAACCACCTGGGGTTCTTTAATGTGCACCGAAATCTGAGCACACAGGCCTACAGCATTCTTTACTCAATCGAAAATTCAGCCGCCGCAGCCGAGCGCCTTAGCTGCTAGACCACTGTCGTGGGTACTTTTCAAACTGATAAAAACTATCTTTTCGAAACATATTAAAAATAACCATTTTCATGCAGTAACGAAAAAGTTAAAGCTGGCCAGTCATTTTTTGGGGGGCATTTAGCGCTGCCTGATGTTCAATGTATAAAGTATTTCAGCTACTTTTGTTCAATGTAGCTGAATATTATCTGATGCACTGACCTTAAAGCAATAAAGTGTTTAGAAACAGTATAGTGTTTAAAGGACAGTCCAATTTACTTGAGTTTGATATTGCTGTGTTCGACTCTGATACATTTATTAAACATATTTTTTAGTACACCTGCCAAAATTTTCAACTAGTGCGTGAGGCAGTTACCCTTATGTGTGTCAGCATTACAAGACGGAACTTGCCATCACACGATTTTAAATTTAATCCAGTCATATGGTGAAAATATTCACAGAGAAATTTTTTGCTCGTACACTATTTAAAAAAAAATTTGGATGACTGTACGAATACTGATGCAAAGAGAATTTCTTTTTCTATGAATTAGTATTATTCACTTCAATATGACGAGTTTTCTGCTAAAGGCCAAAACATATTAGATCTCTCTAAATGTGCTAGTTTTTCTGCAGACGCAAATGAGTTAAATTGAGGTAAGGTCGAGCTCAGCCACATAGATAAGAATTTGGTACTAGCAGACCTTGCTAGAAATGCAAGCGATTAGGGTGAATAGAACTGCTTTTACAATTCAGTTTTTGAGCTTACCTGATCAAACGCATGGTGTTGCAATTTACCATAAAATTTCAAGCAAGCACCCCCCCTCCCCCCAAACTTTTCTGGCAGTTTTAAATATCAGCGTCCAATCCAATTCTGCTTTGCACTGCAGCCCGACTGCTCCGCATAATTTTTTGCTTTGTCTTTGCGGTGAGGAGTCAGCTATGCCTATGTAGTCATACACTGCGGCGAAGAAAATCTTCATTATTTGATGGCATCGAGAAAACGGAAACAATGTGCACCAGACGTTTTGACATTTCAAGCTTGACCCGAAATTGATATGGGAATGAGAGAAGAATTTCGATAATTTGCTGCAGCTAAACCACGGGTAGTCAAAACTTTGACGAAAGCTCAGTAACAGTGCACCAGTGTTCAGGGAATACAGGGATGATATGCTCTTTGAGTACCTTGAGCGCGAAATAAGTGTAGGGCGTGCCCGGATTCTTTTTGAAGAGGCCGTCAAAATTGCCAACAGCATGCAGTTGGGGAACTTTGTAGCCTTCAGCCATAACATAAGTTGCTAGAAACAGCAGTTCGGCGTTGCAATGCGCCGTGCTATGAACAAGAGCCAGAAGACAACGGAGGAACTTTCGGAAGCAGCAAGTGCCTTTCGGTCTTCTGCGACAGCTCAAGACGCAAAGCTACACCTCATATAACATGTCCAACATGGATCAGACAATGGTGCAAATAGACAACTCGGCATCTTTTTTTAACTAGCGCGAGAATTTTGCCACTACCTTGAATTTTGTTCCCGTTCCAAGATAGCCCCCCCCCCCCCCTCCCCCTTGCACTTGCAGGCAATTTCGACTTTGTTGGGAGGAGGGGGGGGGGGGGCTTAAACACTTTGACAGCATTCTTTACACATCACTTTGAACAAATGTAGAAAGGAGCACTCCAGAATATTTTATAGAGAGCACGTGGAACTTTTCTTTTGAAAAGTGTTAAAACTTATTGATTGATATGAGCGGTTTAATATTCCAAAATAACCATATAATGATGAGAGACACCGTAGTGGAGGACTCTGGAAATTTAGATCACCTGCGATTCTTTAACGTGCGCCCAGATCTGAGCACACGGGCCTACAGCATTTGCCCCTGCATCGAAAATGCAGCTGCCACAGCCAGGATTCAATCCGGCGACCTGCGTGTCAGCAGTTGAGTAACTTTGCTACTAGACCAATGCGGCGGGGCTGAAAAGTCGTAGAACACCTAATGTAGGAAGACAAAATCAAGTGTTGAGGCTACCACTGGTCTTCATATTTCAGAGAAGTGTGCTGTGCTGTATTACTGAAGTTCTTGATGAATAGATTGCTTTGCTGCGCTTTTAGTTCAATGTTTAAAAAAAAAGCTTTACTTTTATATGAAGTTCTTGGTAAGTAGCTCTCACGGCAGTGGGTCTAATCTAAATGCCGATTAACAGCTCTTGAATTTGTCAGCATAGCAACTGTCACTCCTTAACAACTTTCAAAACATGGCTCAAAGGTTTAACGGGGCCACGGAGTGGCTAAGTGTGTGCTAACTTATTCAGAAATCCCCTACAACTAGTTCCTAGCCCTTGGCTTTTCTGTCCTCTACACAAGGAGTATTAGCATACTTTCCATGCCTTCATACCAAGTACCTAAACATAGTTCACACAAATGGGCAATAATCGATATAATTTCCCTTTGTGTAAAATTTTGCCCTTCAAAAACAACTTCAAATTTGCTGAGAAATCCTATAACAGATGCGGAACAAGAGCCTAGCAGGAAACACAGATTTTACATTACTTTATTACTTTTTTTTTTCATTGCATTGCATCATCATGTCAGAAAAACAATAAAAAATCATCATAGTTTTGAGAACAGTATGAAATAGGACACGCTAAGATGAAAACGGTTCACCATACCTTGTGAACTGGGCCTAGCTTGTCGCCTCCACACTCAACAGCCTTGTCAAGGTAAGTTATGCCTTCGGCGAGCCCTGCCTCCCTCTCAGCTTTGGGGGCATTTTCGCACCGTTTGAATGTGACACGGGCAAGGCGCCACAAAAGGTCTGGATCATCACAATCCTTGTACTTCAAGAGCATCTTATACGATGCCTCATGGTCACCAGCCTCATGTATGCGGTCCGCCTCTTGTTTTGCACGCTCAACTGTCAATGCAAACAACACGAGTAATTACCAAAGAGAATGTAAAACTGTAGAAAAAAGCGAGTTTAAACGTGTAAAGAATAAGCATAGATGAAATACTCACACACAACCTCTAACACAGTATCTCAAAGAGCAAGCTTTGAAAGCTCATTTAGTGAAATTTGTAATAAAGATAAATTTCTGACCTAATGCATCTTGACACATTTGAGACCCTAATATCACTACTCACAACGGTGGTAACCAATTTAGGATTGGGAGCAACTTTTGCAGCAGGCAAAATGCTGCTTAGTTACATATTTTGAGCAGAAACAACTGTACTTTGAAACAATTTTGGAGCGTAGACATGTTTGACACCATTTAGAGCAGTGTAACAGTAAGCGTGTGACTATTTTCTGCAGATAATCACCACTGTGCAAGCAGGAAATGAACAGCATTTAACAAAGAATACCATGTGTTCACTCCACGGCTATATAGAAGAAGTGCGTTTGGGGGAGCTTTAGCAACAAAAACGAACTTGGGAGGTACTGTTTCTATGTGGGACAGGACTTTGTATATTTATTTGCTAAACATGTTATTTGTAGCATGTTTTTTTTTTTTTTTAATATGAACCCCAGACTGGTTCACATTTTCAGGTTTTGGCTGAATATACCATGACTCCACAAAAAGCTGCTTGTGGAAACTGACTTTAAAGTCAACTAAGCGAGAGTTGCCAAACGCGATGCACTGATCACTGAGCTCTCTGTGCTCAACCAGTGCGCTCTTTTGTCAGTCAAACTTCCGGATGTCACACCGGTTCAACCGACAAAGGAGTGCACTGGCCGCGCACAGTGAGGTCAACGATCACTGTATCGCCTTTGTAAACTCCCGCTCAGTTGACTTTGACGTCAGTTTCCACAAGCAGCTTTTTGAGGAGTCAAGGTATATTCAGCCAACAACTGAAAATGTGAACCAAATGGCAAATGTGCTCCCTAGTGCAATTACTACAAACTATGGCAGATTCGTGAAAACAAGCACGACCCCCCTCCCCCCTAACCTCGGGAGAAGGCGTTATTAACTGCGTTGCTTTCCATCTTATCTCAACTGGGCAACGACTGGTGGTCCCTTTCATACAGCAGCATTAACAACTGCTTAATTGCGTGTTTCCCCCTATATTTGTCTTTATTTCTACCATCTGCGCTCTTAACTAGATGTGTGAAACAAAATTATAATATTTAGCGTGCCAACCAAAGTTCATGCAATTACCAATAATATTACAAGTGACACAGTTAGTAAAGGCTATATTGACCCCAAGTGATCACAAGTCTTACCCGCTCACAACTATGTTCTTTGCCTTTTGATCTCAAAGTTTTCCGATACAATAAATTGCCCCGAGTTATTAGTCAATGTTGCACGGTAGGAAGCAATTTGTACATAGAGACATGCCATAGTGCACCTTGGTGCACACTTTTATTTTGCAGGTTGAGCACTAGTGAAACGTGCTTTTTTTCATATATTATGTACTTACCTTCAATAACTTTGTTAATAAAAACATAAATTTAACTATATGTGCAAGCTTGAGGTGGATACAAAGATAAACATTGCTTTTGAACAAAAGACTCAAATGGGCGTTATTAGTGAGATTTTTATGTGTAATTCTACAAAGCATTCCTTGAAAAGATTTTAATGCACAGTCAGCCAAAAAATCTTACATATTAAATCTGAGGAAAAGGCAATTATCTACGTAGCCCGACAATACAGCCTGGTATTTACATAGGGATGCTAACTTAAATTTGCTAATGATGTTGTATAAAATTTTACTGGCTACTACAACAGGCTGCTCAGGCACTGAACATTTTCTTATTTTTGGTTGACTTGCACAGGATTATGTTTATTTTGAGTATATAGTGTTTTCCAATCAGGCTCACATGCCACTATTTTTACTTTCGTGGCATCAATTTACAAAGTTTCAACATGCTGAAAACTGTACTTTGCCAAACTAGAGACATTCGCATAAGTAATTGAAAATACTTCCATCAAAAAAACTGCAGCTTTCGTAATTCCTACCAGAAATGTCACTGCATCTGAAATGGCAAGTAAATTTTGTATGATGTAAACATCTTGCCGCAAGAATTTAGGGAGTAAATGCTGTAATAAGGGAATTACAGGGTATAGCATAACTCACATTGGCTGTTTTTGGTTTCTCACTCAGTCTTCCCACCGTTCTCAACAGCGAAGAGGTCAGTTGTAATGACTATGCCCACTTCGGCAACGTAACACAACATCAGCAATTAGTACGTCATCGGCAGACAGCCAACAAGCAAGCAAGACTCCTTCTATGCGTCATGGTAAACCACAGTTAATGCACAGTCAGAACCATATCCCCACAGAGCTAATGCACCATTTCGTAGTGCAGAAGACCAATCGACGAAGTAAGGGCCAGGTTAATTTGCCCATGGGCAATCTACATCACTTCACAGATGAGAAAGATAGAACAGGTGCTGGAGACAGGTATAAGAATCGTTTTTTGAAGTGAAGTGTTTGCAAAGTGCGCAGTACTGCAACATTATAAAATGTGATCACCGAGGCTTTGCGCACTAATTGGTGAACTTGTTTGGGAGGTGTAAAAAAAAACGTTTGAGCCTGTTAGCTGGCCCTAGAAGGAATTTGCATACCACAGAGGAAAAATGAGCAATTGACTGTACTTATGTAGGTGACAGGGTAATTAGTGTGTGTAGAAAGTCGTAACAAGTTAAACCATTCTACACATAAGCAAGAATAAAACAAAAGATCACAAGTAAAACTGTGTAATTACTTTCTACAAAAGCGGCTCGAATTAACAAGCGTGGGTGAAGTTTTCAAGAAAGATTTCTTCAATACAAATAGCTACGAAAAGTTGGGGGCCGCAAAGCTAGGGTCATTTTTCACTTCCAACAAACAAATTTTTCATGCAAATATCTTCCACGATGAGTCGCAAAAATATTTTAGTTCAATTTAGATATTCTTCATTAGTTGTGGCAGATTGGCAGGCACCACCAAAAAAAAAAAAAAACGCAGAAAATTCCACACCAAGAACTCCAAAAAAGGGCACAGCACAGAGGAAAAAAGCATCCCATATTGAAAATAATAATACTAATAATAATTGGGGTTTAACATCCCAAAACCACTATATGATTATGAGAGATGACGTAATGGAGGGCTCCGGAAATTCAGACCACACAGGGTTTTTTAATGTGCACCTAAATCTTAAGCACACAGGCCTCAAGCACTTTTGCCTCCATCGAAAATGCGGCCGCCATGGCCAGGATTCAATCTTGCGACCTGCGGATCTTGAAAAAGTATGCAACCAAAAAGGCACTGCACACATGGTCAATGGCCAGGAGGATGGAGGATAAAAAAAAGGCCTGAATACCGGAAGGGAAGGTACCACAAAAGGTTCTTCATGCCGGCACATGTCGAGTTGTCAAATGGTTGTTTCCATCAACATAAATCTTTATTATTCTCTTTCATAAAAAAAAACACTTATAAATGCCATTGAAATGGCAATTTTCACATTTGGTGCAGTTGCCTACCAAAATGAGTGTGGTATTACTGCTTCTGGCTTCCTGGATGTGCTGAAACTTTACTTTGCTTCTACCTTTGAAGAGTGGAATGATGAAGTCTTTCTGCAAAAAAACAGGTGTGCATTTGCTCATGCATTGCTTTAGTGTTATGTGATTTGTATGTGGCTCATTTAGATAGAAAGGTTCAGGAGCGGCAAAAATGAATGTTAGTGATTGCTTCTGGTTTGTCGACAATTTCTCGATTTTGTTTCATTGCAATCATGATGCTTTTCATGAGTGCTTTCAGCAAGCCTTGCAAGTGTTCCAGGAATGCCTTGATTCGCTATCTCTCACACATGAGCTGCCATAAAATGGTTCCCCGAGGTTTTTAGATTTAATACTAACATTTCCAGCCGAACACATCTGTTGTACATATGAGCCATGGGCGAAGAAACCTCTGTTGCCGTATGAGTATTCTCACAGCAAACTGGTAAAGCGTGCAGTTGTAAAAGCCCGTTCGCACAACGCTTTAAACAAATCTTGCTCCCACTCAGTAGAGGAAAGTTTCGGCAAACAGATATTTCGTCTTGAGGCAGCTTCGTTGCCACTTTCTGTTTCCGAGAAGCTGCGCAGAGTCAAGAGTAGGCAACAAGGGGGGCACTTCACAAGAAACAAGTCCCAAGAGGGTGGCAGTGATACTGTATCTACACAGTATTTCAGATAAACTCAAAAGGATAGGCCAAACAGAGAGTGCGCCGGTGGTCTCAGTTACATGTCCGAACTAGTCCCGTAGGAAGTACCGCAAGCAATCGTAAAGTGAAGCAGAGTAAAAAGTTTATTGAGCGTGCAAGAGAAATTGTTTACCGTATACCTTTGTCATGTGGACAAAGGTATGTAGGTCAGACGGGTAGGTGCCTTAACATATGACTACAGAAACATTGCCAGAAGGTAAGAAATGTAGGAAGGGACGGTTTTTTCGCCTCTAATTGTTTTGGGTGTGGGTGCCAGCTATTGTTTGAAAAGGCAAGGGTTCTCATGTCCCAGCAAATTAAAGGCACTAGAATCATAATTGAGGCGATAAAAATCGCTTGAGACAGCTGCATCAGTAGACCGTCTATAGCCTTATCAAGAAAAGAATTGGCGTACTTGAATTCTTCTGCACATGGTGTTCCAGAGGGATCACTTGGTTTTTAGCAGCCACTTGGTTTCGTTTGGCTTGTGTTTTTGGATAAGCATGTGATCTTATCTTTTTCTGTATCCTATATATATCTGCGTCTTAGTAATAATAAAACAGTTGAAAGTTTGTGCTGCTCCTCGTCTTTTCTGTGTGCGCTGTCTAAATTTTTGCGCTGAGCAGTTCAATGATTAAATATCAACTAGCTCAATCCCACACTTTGCCACAAAAGGTTCCATTATAAGTTAGTCTAATAATGCTGACTCCTCTCCCCACCCCCCTTTTTTGTGGCCCTTGGAGCCTGCTGAGC